ATTGCAAGCACTGTGTCCAGCCAGATTGCAAGATCGTAGGGAACCTGATATGGGAGGCAGCCCCTGAGGGCTTAACAAGTTAAAGCTGGTCCCAGAGGACAGCTGGAGTTACGTGTGCACAGCTGATCTTTAAAGAGAAAGGAAGAGCTGGAGGATGTTTTGTACCTCTCCTACACTTACAGTTAGGAAATCTTACAGGAATGTGAACACCTACTCTGTGAACCTGGCAGCCAGGTAAGTCCCAGCCAAAGATGCTGTGCTAGAGCTTGGAGCTGATAGCTATAGCTTACACAAATAGAGGTTAAAGACATGAAACTCCTTGTTTCCATCTTCCCTGTACTCAACTTTATATTTGGGGTACTACTTAATATCCATCTATGCAGTTTATGTGGTTTGAATCTTATTCTTAGATAACTAATTCACTATGAGTACTGAGCAAGGAGGTGGGGGAGAGGGAAAATGTAAATTTAGGTGGACTTGTGGACTACCTTAAGATACTTAAAATAATGGTATTGCTTGAAGTATCTTGACTGGTACAGGTCACCTTTTGTATCTACTACTTGTGTATGGATGCCTCACAAACCTAGAGATGTCTAGAATAATGACAGGTCCTTAAATGTAGACATGTGGATCCCACCATGGAGGTTTGTATCTCTATTCTGGATCTCACTTCAGTGTTCTAAAGTAACTTACTGTGAGATTGGTGGGCAAGTCTGCATGCCTTTCTTGGATAGACCCTTCAGTATTAGAGATTACTGTTGCTAATAAGGGTGGGATATCCCTCAAGATCATCAGATATGCTCCAGAGAAGCCCCTATTGCTGAATTGATGAAATTTCTCATTAAACAAAAATATCTAAATATTAACCAAAAAAACCCCCACCTGATTTTAATGTCCTGCACTAAATGTCCCGCTATTTGCTTCATGATCTCATTTGCATCTCTAGTCAACTCTCCTCATTAGAATTATTTCTGTCATGAGTTTCTCAGAAAAAAAAAAAGTGTTTTGGGTTTTTTTTGCCCTATGGGGATCCCTGAGCCAAGAGGGTCTGCTGAGTTAGAAAGAGGAGTTTCTAACAACCACCGTGAGAAGTACAGTGACTAAGCAAGGAAAATTACTCAATGTGCTGGAGAAAGCAAACAGAGTTCAAACAAACTTCAAAGTCTATAGAAAAAATGGGGGATGTGATTAACTTTTCTGGATTTTTTTTTTTTACTTATTTCATATGTGTCAGTGTGATTTACTCAAAATTTTTTTCCTCAAGTAGTTTTATTTAAGGGTTTGTGAATAACAATAAGTGTATTAGTGGGGTTTATTTAAGTGAATGTTTGTAGCACTGCTTTATTCTGTAGATACTGCTGCATGTAAGCGCTACTGTTCAATTGAATTTTAGTATAAATTAGCTTATCTTCTTTCAAGTGGCTTTAAAGCTAATAATCCTAAAAGAATTAAGATTAGAAAGTACTGCTATCAGTGACAAAGCTCATTAATGGCTTTTTATCTCTGCAAACTGGTGAACTATAGCCACAGTAATTGGCATAAATGGAATATAACTATTCTTCAGCCAGGTATCCTTTACTCTGCTTTACATTAATTACTTTAAGATTTTGTTCTGGTCAAATAAAATTTGGATGGCTTGTCTGAAAGGCTGAGCAAATGTCAGGTGTGCTGCTTTGAGAAGTCAGAAAGGGTAAATCTGCAGCAGGCAAGATAAAGACAGGTAGAGAAGGTAAATACAGAGATCAGAATAGTTGCCACTGATGATCATTTTCAGCTGGTTGTAGTGAGATTCAGGCAGTATATTCCCACAGAAAAAAGGACTTGGTTTTTTGGAAGGAAAAGATGCTCAGGTTGGAAATTATACTTGTATTTTACTACTAGTGGATCAGCTTAGGTTTGCTGGAGGAATACAGATTTTTTTCAAACTCTTCATAAGAAGTATGTTACTATTTTAAAGTTTTTTTAAAGTTCAATGAAGGCTGGCCTGCTTCAGGCTTCTCTGCGAAAGCAGCTGAACAAAACAGGTGCTGCTTTGATTATGGACCTCAACAGTCTTTTCCAGAGGGATAGCATTCTCTAATAATTCCACATTCAGAAATTAAGGTGTAATGCATCACCATGCTTTGAAACCCCTATTAAAACTCTTAAAACCCCCTCTCAGAGGCCTGTAAGCACTAACTAAAGACCCCTGACCTAAAGCAAGAGGACTGTTCATTCAAGTAAGAGATCTCTGGTCTGTGTCTGCTGGGAAATACTATTTTACAGTCTGTCAATAGAAGCAGGTTTCTGGGCTTCCCCCGCCCCTGGTTTTCCCACCTGCTTTTGCTGAAATTGCTCCGCTGTAGCTCAGGGTCAGCAAACTTGCATCCATTAACAACTGCTGTGTTGTCTTTCCTTATGTTATCCATCTTCACAAGGCAAGAAAATTTTATCTCCTTTGTCCAGTTAGTTGAAATGTCTGGTTGTTGATATCTGGAAAACAGGATTGCATTCAAAAGGGAACAAACCAAAGTGTCAGGGTAACCTTTGCTTTCCTCCTCTGCCTCTCCAGTCTCAATTAGTTAAGATGACTGATGGTTCAGTCATCCTCCTGCATGGTTTTGTGCCCCACAGGGCATGCAGGAAGGGTGTTATGGGGTTTAGGCTTTGAAGGCATAAGAATAAATGGTCATATACTACTTCTCTGTGGCAAAAAGTAGAAGAAAGGAAAATTCAACAGTTTGAGAGATTGGAAGAAAATACTTTTTCTTCCTTTTGACCCATTATGAAATAAAGGAAAAATTAAGCTGTGTGAGAGGAAAGAGGAAGTTCTGATAAAAGTCTTCTGAAACAGCACAAACTTTACTTTTCTTCTTAATTTCCACATTTTATTTGGAGAAAAAAAAAAAAAGAGTTTTTGCAGGGGTCAGGGCATAGTATCCTCACCCAAATTCAGCTAGCTTTTACTTTGAATTCTTGTGGTATTTCTGATGGGAAAGAACTCAAAGGGTCTCTTTCTTCCCTGTCTGACATCTTGTTTACTGAGCAGATCCTACATCTGGCAGACAAATCAATTCTAAAACAACAGATTTCAGGTAGATTTGATGCCATAATCTATGCATTTTTCAGCAATTCAAATGGAGTAAGCTCTTTTACACATCCTAAAAGTTTGTTGCATTAGTGCAGTACCTCAGTGAGCACTCAAGACATGCAACTAAATGGAATGAAATAGGTACTTAAAGATTCATATAATGTATTAACCATTTTTGTAACTTAATTCAGGGCATGATATATACAGCTGACATCAGAAACCTTTCATAGCTGTTCTTTAATTTCAGTTTCAGTAATGAATATAGATCCAATTAGAAGCGAGCTGATACATGTTAAAAAGAATTAACAATACCCCTAATTTCCATGTTGAAGTAATGACTGCTATTATAGACTTCTTGATTTTAATCAGATATTCTCAAAAATGACAGCAGATGTGGATTCATAATGCTCAGTTGATGCTACAAGTCACACTCTCTTACACTCTTTCTTGTATTTAAAAAAAAAAAAAAATCTAACAAGCATAGAGCAAAAGCTCCTTCAATGTGCTGCATATCTTTTATGGCACATTAATGTTTATCCAAGCAGCCAAGAAGCAGATTACAAGCAGCATGTCACTGACTGGGGGGGGGAGTTCAGTAGCAGACTCCGAGCACTAACTATGTGAGACGGAAGTTCAGTCAAGCTTATTGTGAGCTCGTCTGATACGAACTTCTCTGGGCTGTGTGGCACTATCTTCAGATCAGACCTGAGACTCTTGGCTCAAAGCATTTTGCATTTCATGATACTGAAAGGACTGTTGGAACAGCTTTCACAACTTTATGCCATGGTGGTTTACCCAGTTTTATGTCACAATCTGCAGTGACTGTGGGGGAAAATGCCCCTGTGAATGGACTCTCAGTAAGTGATAATGTACCTCTTTCAGAAATATATGACAAATATATGAGAGCCCACCAGTGATACAGGATACCTTTCTGTCCTCTACTTGAGGCTTTGTGCTAGAAGGTGATCTGTCTTCAGGCTTGCTTTTAATTTCTATGGCTTGTGCCAGTTTAAGAGAGAAGAAAGAAATTATTGTAGATGCAATACACAGGGAATGAATCTACTTTTACAGGTTTTCATCTCATCCATCTACCTTCAAGGGAAAATCTGAGTATGCTTCTTCTGATAATGTCTGTATGACTGTGTTTTACCTGTCCCTTTATATAACCATTAGGATTTGGTGTTGCAGGGAAGCCACACATATAACTGCGTGTGCACCTTTTTAGTACGGGCAAAATCTAAGGTTGTGATGTGAGGTCTCTGCAGCTGGACTTGCTTTTCTGACATATTTGAGTTGGTCTGTACATCAGCTTCAGTATGCATGGGAGCAACTGGGATATGCAGCATCTTGTGTAGAGACACTGGAGAATATTACATTTTCTGAAGCAATAAAGCCAGAGAGTTTAACCGGGTAAATAAACCTATTTGGAGAAATTGAAAGTGTACTGGTTTGTTGTCACTGAAGAAAAATTCCCCAAACAGTCTCACCTTTTAATAAGCACTCGACTGATGCACAAGCTCAAAATAGAAACTATTGGTAGTGTCTGGCTACAACATCTGTAAAGCAATATGGGATAAATCTATCCAAATCTGTTTTCAATGATTCCTTGCATGCAGTTGAACTGCTAATCTAAGCATATATTAGTCACAGAATTTTAATCAAGTAGCTTGAATTAGAAAATTTCGTCAGCAGGGACGCAGTCCTTAAATTGAGAGCGATATTGCATGCTGCTGAATAGATGTACTTTGGTGTTTAAGTTTGGCTCCATTTGCAAATAATTTTTAGATGTGCTATGTTTATTCCAGTTATGAAGTATATGGGGTTTCACTCTGGAATGTGCTTGCTTCTTCTCAGCAGTTGTACCTTATAATTAAAGCTGCCTAGCCCAATGTTAGTATTTTTCCTTCTTTCTCTTTCCATGTTGCTGCAGAAGAAACTAAGATAAAGAAGCCTGTGTCTATTGTCTGAGAGAGTAGAGAGATGGCCTGGCATGTGTCTTTGTCAAGAGCCAACCCAGAAACTACATGAAACATGAGTAGAACAAAGGGTAGTGGAGACATGTGGATATGGTGTCAATAGAAAACAAAGTTGGGACGCGGCAGCTGCATCCTGCAGTAGTATTACGAAAGGAAGTATTAAAACTTTCTGTTTAGTAATTCCTGCTGCTACATCTCTGGTACTTAGCAGTGATGATGTTTCTGTATGTAATATGTTTTCTGTACTAGGCATATGTAATTTAATCATATGATTAGCTCAGTTGGTTAGAATATGGTGCTAATAACACCAAGGCTGCAGGTTTGATCCCCGTATGGGCCATTCCCTTAAGAGTCGGACTCGGTGATCGTTGTGGGTCCCTTTCAACTCAGAATATTCCATGATTCTGCATCAAGGGTAGAAGATCTGGTCTTTAGATATCTAGTGTTGCCTGAGATGTGTGAGGAGAGAGAAAATATTAAGCTAAGTATTTTGAAGTAGGGTTTGATTTTTTTCCATACCAAGCAGTATGAATGTTCTTTATAGCAAAATTTCTGAGGGTAGATAAATACTTGGTATGTGCTGATATGAGCCTGTAATGCAAACTCTTAATTCCTTAATATGCTTCCTTCTTCTCTGTCCCTTATTACATGCTGCATTGTGCACAGCATCAATTCAACTATGTTTCAGTAAATTTGTACTTAACCACTTCTCAGCTGTTATGAATTCAAAAATTTACTTTCTTTCCAGAGGATGTTTTCCAGTTCCAAACTGCTTCATTGTTACTTAACCCATTTACCTAAAATATATTAAAATTAAATCTAGTTTGGTTTTTTGTTTTTCTTTTTTGTCCCGTCCCCCCAAATTCTTTGAAGAAGAAAGAATGTTTGAGTATTATTATCTTTGGGGGTTATGTTTGACTTTCTTGCAAATTCTTTTAATTTGTATTCTGCTACTAATTAAAAAACGTGAAAACCAGTACTGTTTTGGAGATGTTTCTTAACGCTAAACAAATACTTGAAAAGAGTTAATAAATTATTAATTCATGTTTAGATGCATGAAAACTTAATCAATTGTTGCTGTTAAAGGTTTGCGTCTCAGGTCTTGCTTTTAGCGTGATTTACAAATGTATATTTACTTTGCATGTCAGCGATCTGTCCTTCCTGATACTGTGGCTGTAATGAGTAGGCAGGTCATCTATTACAACTGTACCAACTACTTAAAAACATATCATCTGTGTAAGGAGAGACTCTTTAACTACCAAGTTGTAGTAATTGTTCTTCTTCAATACTGGGTCTTCCATCCCCACCATAATAATGTATTCAGTAACCCAAGTCTGTGGGAGAAAAAAAGAGTAGCAGATGAAAACTCCAAAACCACAGATGAAAAAGCAGCCTTAAAATCTTAGTTTACCCAGGAAGGCTGGGAAGACTGAGAAACCTGGCTGCTGAACTACCAAAATTGGTCTATGCTTGGAAATTAGGAACTTTAATATCAGCTGTTGATCCATTTCATACCTAATCCTCTGGACCTTCCTTTCTTAGGCATCTCTAGTGTTGGGCTATGATAGGCACTGCCTGTGCATTCCTTTTCATATTCACTATATCTCTTGAAATAGCACATCCAAAATTTGAGGGGCAGAACATGTGACCATTGTAGTCCTCACTATGGGCCCTTTCTCTGAGATGACCCCAGTTCAAGAGCCAGCCTTCCCAGCTGAGCTCAAGTGTTGTATCATCTGAATCACCAGGAGATGCACACTGTACATGGATAGAAGGATCATATTCAGCCTGCTCTCCAAATTAACTTTGCACAAACTCTTCACCTGAAGAAATCTGCAGAAGGAATTTTCTCTAAAAAACAACAAACCCAGAATTGGAGTGCATATTAGGAGTAGAGAAAATGCAGAGACTTAAACAGTTGCACTGGAAACTAGAGTTTAGAAGCTGTAAGTGTCCATTGTGTGTACACAAATACTGGGATTCAGGTTAACTTCAGGCATTTAACTTTAGGACTCATGTAAAATTGACCTGGCCTCCCTCCAGGGAAAGTGAACTGAGACAAAATGAGATGAGTCTGGACCTACCAGATCTATTAGGTCAATCTGTGCTGACCTATTCAACTTGAAAATATCCTGATCACTGAACTGTTAATATTTGTGCCATTGTTCTGCTGATAACGTCTTTTCTTCCTCCTCAACCAGAGAGAAAAGCAAGACCTTTGTCAGAGAAGTTTTCTGATTATTTTTCTTCTTCTTTTCTCTCCTCTGCTCAGCAAATAGAGTGGAGATTGTAGATGGTATTTTTTTTTCAGAAGTGTGCTTTCAAAATGATGATACATGGTTTAATTTTACTATTATGCAAGTCTCATTGAATTCCAGGGAGATTAGTCAGGGTAGGGAACTGCAGGACAATAAATTCTTGCAGGATCAGGGGCTGTCTCTGTTCTTTAGCCTGAAGTGTTGTCACCATATTGTGTGTTACTGATGATTGGTTTGCCTCAAAAGTTTTTCTCCTACTACTTTTTGTGTATCATACTTCTGTGTAAGACCTATTGCCGTGCTTTTCTCTGTTAATGCATGGGAGTTCAGGGCATGAGGTTCTGCTGTATTAAATGCTTTAACCAAGCAAATCTGCATTCTGATCATGGTGCACACTGATCAATTAAGCCTTGCTGCTGGGCCCAAGCAGACAGTTCAAACTTAGCAGGCTTTGTGGTTTCCTGGATATGTAGTTTCCTGTGTGTTCCTTTATGGTTTCCCTGTCAGTATTCTATTGCAAATTCTCCTTCTCTACATGTTGGGCTAACTATATCATTTGTGAATAATTCTCATCGGCTTTCTCGGTCTTTGGCATGTATTGTTTATCCACATATTGTGTCTTGCTCAGGCAAGAAAATTTCTTCCCAACTGGAAACCTCTCTGCTCTTTTGTCAGTGAAGAGAAAGGCAGGTTGGTTTAAAAAGTGTACTTCCTCTGACGTACTGCCTCCTTAAAAAGCAGTGAAGAAAGACATGATCACACGGTTTCTAAAGAGGGGAAATGCTGCAAATGCTGTCAAATGATGTCAAATGATGATAATCAGCAAGCTGGGAGGTAAAAAGACTGATTTCTTTTGGGCATAGTGATATGAGGTATTACAGCAGCAATAAGATTTTGGGTTTTGCAATGAATAATCTTAGTTTGAAATTCATCCCCTCTCTAAATCAGCTGTGTCTAGCTGCAGATTTACTGCTTCAACTCAGATCATAGTAATGAGAATGTAGGTATACTGTTCTTTGTTTATTTACTTGTACTTTTAAGGGGTGAAATACCTTAGGCAACAACCAGTTCAGAACTCTTGGATTTAGATGACTTTTTGGTTGGTTGGTTTGGTTTTTGGTTTTTTTTTTTGAGTAGATTAGTTTTAGAATATGCTTCCCATACTATTAGTGATACTGTAACTATCAGATATATGGTACAATTATTGAAATGTCCTATAGATAAAACAGAATAATTTCACAGAGCCTGGAAAGCAGTAATTGTTTATGCAGACAAATTGCCAGCTAAGAAGAATTTCTTATGAGTATTTTCAATTTTTAATGTCATGTAAATTATTCCTGCATGAACATAAACAGGAAAGTAGGCTATGATTTTCAGACCCTTTTGAGAAACATTTGTTCACGTTTTTTTCATTCATTCTGCATTTTTATTGTACCACCCAATAACTGTTTCCCTCCCTCTACCATCCTATTCATCCATTAATGACCTCACTGCGTTGCTGCGAAATACAGTTATCGCTGGGATTCATTATTCTGTCATGTTAAGGCTATTTTTAGCCCAGACTCCAGCTGGCAACTGAGAAGAAACATAGGAAAGGAAATTGCCTCAGGTGCTATTAGTGCTATCTAGTTGCCTGTAGTGTCTATAGTTTAATGTGAAATGTCCTCAAAAAAAAAAAAAAAATGGTTTCAAAATTAATTTTTTTTTGTTATTTCTTTAGCCTAAGAAGCTAAAAAGCAATATTCCGGTCTGGGGGAAAAAAATAAGATAAAATAAAAAATTGAAATGAATACATGTCTTTGAGGGAAAGCACTTCAAAGCTGATCAATGAGAGCAGCTAGAAAAGCATATAGCAGCCAGAGCTGTGATAAAGTTTTTTACTCTTGCATCATTCACCTTGAGCCTTAGCTGTGCTGGGCAGAACCTCACCTCATGTTGGCATCTCCGCACGGCTGGGAGATGTACATCTAGAAACTTGTAATTGGGAGCAACAGATAAATATTACACTTTTTGCTTTTGAACAGCACACAAATTTTTGGGGTTTAAGGATTTACCTGAAAAAAAGACTCCTCTGGAGATGTTCCTGCTGGTTTCACTGAGTTGCTAGTAGTTTTAATGTGGTGACCTATGTGTGGAAAGGAATTTGGAGAAATTTTCCAACTTGTCTCTCTAGATGTACGGTTTCAAATGGGACCACTTGCCACACTTTTCCTAACGAAAGGTTTCAAAAGGTACTAATTCTTGAAGTGTAAAACTTGAGAAGAGAGTGAAACTAGCTGTTCTGTGCCTGGCAGCCTTGCCTCGGAGAACGGGAGTTTAAGGCAGTAGTCCAACTCATGATGCACAGATTTATGCATCAAAATTTACCAGTTTTGATAGAGGAGCCAAATGAGCGTGAAGCACAAACTACACTGGAGAGATCTGCCTTGGATTTAGGCAAATATTTTGGCATGTGGACAATCTTTCACTGCTCCAGCATGTACCCTGGCTCGCTACAGTCCAGAACTCCTCCTTAGGCAACAGACTGGCATTTTTAAGGGTTTTATTCTGATTCCATACATTGCTAAAAAGTTTGATAAAATTGATTTTGAGACAAATTCAAAACCTCCATTTGAAGAAGTAAAGTTTCCCCACGTCAATCTGTGATGTATAGTGCTCTGTAAAATACTCATTAAAAAAATCATTATTTTACTACAGTCCAAATACCCTCTATGAGAGAAAGCATGCATTAAATGGGAAATACATGCATTAGAAACCTTTATAGTAAAGCTGTGAATATCAAAAATAAGTCTTCTTTTAGCATCAGTAGAACTGGAGGGGTAACAACCCCACCCTGGTCTTGCTTGACACCAGACTGAGATGGTGAGAGGTCCTCTTGAAAACCCATAAAACTGCAGTAAGTCTTCATGGAAATTCACTGTTTGATTCCAGATGAAATTCACCTCTAGATCTTTTTATTTAGCATAAACAGCTATCGTGCCTCTGCGATCCACATGACTAACTTGATAGATGCGGCTGCAACCTGTGATGGGAGTTACATGCCTCTGGGA